TCTTCTGAATTTGTGATAGTTATATCAGAGTTCACTGATCTGTCAGTTCCATTTTGACTTTATACTCAAATATAAGCTTATGTATATCTTTAATTTTTTAATGAGAATTTGTGTCTTTTTTGCCATGTCCATGTTATGATGATACTTGCTAACATTCTAATCATAAAAGTTATAGAAATCAAACCAAAAACTTTACTTAAATATCAATATTTGGACAAGCTAACACATTATGAGATATTAAAAATTATGCAGTTGTTTATAAGTTATAGAAATCAAACCAAAAACTTTACTTAAATATCAATATTTGGACAAGCTAACACATTATGAGATATAAAACCATTATGAAATTTACAGTTCATAATTACCACTGCTACCCATTTACAATCTTAACTTATCTAACAGTAATTTTACCAATGTGAATGCATAGTGAATCCAACCCCTGAAAAGGAACTCAGCATTCATGGTATTTTTTTTCTTGATTTTGAATTAAAGTTTTGGGCTACTATCTTTTCTATTACTGTATTAACTTGGCTAAGTGTTTTTGTTTTTTCTTTCTTTGTTTTATTAACATTGTTCTTTGGTTTTGCAATTTCTTTGTAATATTTCAGGTAGATGACTCTTATTGAAGAGAAGCTTTTATCATGCACAGTTGAATTCCTTCATGTGTCATATGATCTTAATATCTAAATAGAACTGGTTTTAATTTCTGAAAAAAAGAGAATATGAATAATAGTGGCAATGTATATGAAAGGTGTATTAATGTGTACATAATTTCGTTTTTACAGTAGTCATCAGCATGGCAACTGTTGGTGTCAAAGCAGTTGATGTAATTGACTTTTTCCCGGATGTTGGTGATGACCTGAGTAAAATTACTTGGGGTCATGCCATCAACGACAAAGACTTGTTGCAAAGTAGCATTGATAGTAAGTTGCAGTATTGAAATCTTCATCTATCTTTGTTTACATTTGACATATATTATTTAAGCCTCAAGGTATTGATTTTTAATTTGGATTTCTTTTTATATCTGAATCTAGATCTGCTAGTCACTCACTCACTCACTCACTCACTCACTCTCTCACTCTCTCACTCTCTCACTCTCTCACTCTCTCTCTCTCTCTCACACATTTTTTTTTTTTTGGGGGGGGGGGGGTATTATGTTCAAAGCCATTTTGCAGAAGGATAAAACTGACAAAATATCATGCAAAAAAAAAAAAAAAAAAAAAAAAAAAAAAAAAAAAAGAAGCTTGTCTAAAAACAGCATATCATTTTTTGTGATTTTTATAAGAAAGAAAAAAAAAATGGTTTCAATATTTTTTTATTTTTTTTTATTATTCATAAAAAATGCATGTTGGTCTCATGTTTTGTAGAATTTTATATGCTTTCTAAAGATACTCTTTTTTTTCTATGTCTATTTGTTACGTCACAATTTTCAATTTTCGAAGGTAATGTGAAAAATCATAATATTTTCGTGGTATATCTAAGGTGGCAGCAACCACCTTAGAAATTGCAGGGGGGACTTCAAAATTTCAGGGGAGACTCGGGCAGTCAGAAACTCATTGAAAATGCATGTAACTCCAAATCGACAAATCCGAAGATTTTTGCCAAAAAAGTGACCAGACGGTCCCCTTAATTGAACGTCACATTTATTTATCCAACAGATGCAACTATAATGATGCTAGAAGCAGATGTGTCCCCAGGACGTTTGATAGGCCAGTCTCCAGATGACCCCCACATTCCCATCATGGCCCACCCACCTTACGAGACCTCAAACCTGTCCTTGGAAATGTGGATTGATGAAGTGATTAAGGCTAATGAGGTATGGATGAGTTTTATCATTAATTTTTTTCTTTTACGAATAAAGTACTGCAGACTACAGTTGTCTTTTATCCCTCATTCTTTTTTTCAATTGTTTTTCTAATTATATTGTATTTCTTGCAGTAACTGTCAGTCTTTAATATATTCTTTCTGATTTGTCTTTGTATTTATTCCCTTTTATCTTTCTTTTTCTATAATATCCTGACTTTTTTCTGTCTATATGTGTACCTATATCTCTATGTATGTGTCAGTCTCTTCCCTTTCTCTCATCTGGTTCTCTCTTCTTTTCTCTTCTCTTCTCTTCTCTTCATTCCTCTTCTCTCCTTTCTTCTTTTCTTATCTTTTCTTTTCTTCTCTCCTTTCTTTTCTTTTCTTATCTTTTCTTTTCTTCTCTATCTTTTCTTTCTTCTCTTCTCTTCTCTCTTTCTTCTCTCTCCTCTCCTCTCTCTCCTCTCCTCTCCTCTCCTCTCTCTCCTCTCCTCTCCTCTCCTCTCCTCTCCTCTCCTCTCCCTCTCCTCTCCTCTCTCCTCTCTTCTGTTCTCTCTTTCTCTTCACTTCACTTCACTTCACTTCACTTCTTTTCTTCTCTTCTCTTCTCTTTCTCTTTCTCTTCTCTTTCTCTTTTCTCATCTCTTCTCTCTCTTCTCGTTCTCTTCTCTTCTCTTCTCTTCTCTTTCCTCCTTCT